CCCCTCCACCCACACATCAACAAATACCGCTCACGTTTGGACATAGAGCAGTTTTTCCGCCGCCTCAGCCTCCACACTTACTACATTTCTGATGAAGGGTCTCGGCCCGAAACGTCAGCCTTTCTGCTCCTATTATGCTGCTTCGCCTGCTGTGTTCATCCAGCTCTGCACCTTGTTGTCTCAGTTTCTTCACCAGGACCCACTTACACCCATTGAAGTAGTGAATTGCCACATCTTTATTTCAATTTGTTCACAGAATGTGGGCATTGCTGGCTTGGCTGAGTTCATTGACCATCCCTGATTGCCATTGGGAAGGTGTTGTTGAGTTTCCTCCTTGAACTGTTGCAGTTCATGTGGCATACGGACACCCTCAGTGCTGTTCCAAGATTTTGACCCAGTGACATTGAAGGAATGGTGATACATTCCAAGTCAGGATGCTGTGTCTTGGAGGGGGATTTGTAGCTGGTCATGTTCCCATGCATCGTCTGCCTTTGTCCTTCTAGATTTTAGAGATGGTGACTCAGAAAGGTGCTGTCGAATTAGCCTTAGGGAGGTACCGGTTGTGAATCTTTTAGATGGTGCACATGGCTGCCACTGTGTGTGTGGCAGGAGGAGGGAGTGAACTTTGAAGGTCATGAATAGGGTATCAATCAAATGAGCTGCTTTTTCTGGATTCTGTTGAATTCTCAAATGTTGATGGAACTGCTCCATCCAGGCAAGTGAATAACAGTGTAGCATTATTTCAACTTGTGCCTTGTAGAGAACGGACAGGATTTCAGGACAGAGAAGATCATTCACCTGCTGCAGAATTCCCAGCCTCTGACCTGCTCGGTGACCTGGTTACCAGTAAAATGCCTTCTCCTGAAACAGGAACAAGGAATCTCTGGCACAGGGAATTCCCACTGTCACTGGTGGATAGAGATTATGCTCCTAATAAGGCCGAGCAAGAAATCTTGGAATCAGTGGAAACCATTTGTCACCAGGTCTCCTCACTTGTTTTAAAATTCATTCATTTTCTGTTGGTCAGACTAACACTACAGCAGGGGTCTGACAGAACACACAATGAAATCTGGGGACAACATTTTAAATATATGAATACATAGAGGGGAGGGGGAAAGTCATTCTAGTTTTCACAGAATAATGGAAGGAGTTGAGAAACAAATTTCTCAAAGCGACAATAAAAATAATACAATAATATGATTTAACAAAGGTGGAATTATTCTAAATAAGTTATAAGGCTGGAGCAAATTACTGCAGATGCTGCAATCTGTACCAAAAACAAAAAATGCTGGAAATCACAGCAGGTCAGGCAGTGTCCACAAAGACAGCACAAGCTAATATTTTGAGTCTAGTTCTTGATCAGAGCAAGTTATGGTGCTCCTTACCATTCACTGAAGCCAGAATCACAAGCAGCAATAACATAATACGGTCGCTCTCCATCAGCTTGAGATCTCATCAGCACAGCCCTCATCTGAAACACAGAGAGAGTTAATAGTCTAATTATTTATGGTAAGTTATTTGTTCTTAATCTTCCAAGTACAGTTTCAAATTTCAATGTTAAACATGTTGTGTATCACTAATTGTAAAGTTTTGGTGAAATGTAGGCCTCTGTGGACCTGAAGATCCTGAACATATAAACATCTGCAGGCTTTATGTTAAACTTGTGTGTGTATCTGGAGATTCAATTACAACGTTAATCTTACATTAAAAAACGGTTTGACTGATTTTAATTTCCTTGGATTTCAGCTTCATTGCAAGCCAGCATTTATTGCTCATCCCTAACTGCCCTCAAGAAGGAGGGGATCAGCTGCCTTCTCAAACACCAGCATAACCAGAGGACACCAATTTAAAGTAAATGGTAAATTAACTGAAGGTGACACACAAAAAAATGTGTTTTAAACAGCATATAGTTCGAAACTGGAATGCACTGCCTGAGGGCTGGGGGAAGGCAGATTCCAAAGGGCTTTCGATAGGCACCTGAACAGGATGTTTTCACAGCTCTGAGGAAAAGGCAGGGTGGGACGAGCTGAGGCATTCTGGCACAGACATGACAGGCCAAATAATAATTTTCTGTGCAGTGAACATTTTATAATGCTGTTATAACTGTCTGTTCTTAATGATAGCATTATAGGATCTTCTGAGGCAGCATGCAGAGCTTGAATAATTACAGAACAGAAGGAGGCCATGTGACCTCTTACATCAGTGCTGGGCCTCTGAAGGAGTATTTGACCTGTTGCCACTCCCCACCTGTTCTGCAATAGCCCTGAACTTTTTGTTTTCATAAGACCGTAAGAAATAGGAGCGAAATTTGGTTGTTTGACCCACTGAGTCTGCTCTGCCACTCAATCATAAATGATGTTTCACAGCCCCATTCTCCTGCCTGCTCCCTGTAACCTTTGATTTCCTTACGCATCAAGAAACTATCTCTTTCTTAAATACACTCAATGACTTGGCCTGTACAGTCTTCTGTGGCAATGGGTTCTATCGATTAACCATACTGTGGCTGAAGAAATTCCTCCTCATCTCAGTTCTAAAGTGTCACCCCTTCATTCCGAGGCAATGTCTTCAGATCCTAGTCTTTCCTACTAGTGGAAACATCTTCTCCACGTCCACTCTATCCAGGCCTCTCAATACTCTATAGAAATAGTAGGAACTACCGATGCTGGCGTCCGAGATAACAAGCTGTAGAGCTGGATGAACACAGCAGGCCAAGCAGCATCAGACGAACAGAAAAGCTGATGTTTCGGGTCTGGACCCTTCCTCACTCACCCTTCTAAACTCTTATCGAAAACAGACCTAAAGTCTTCAAACGCTCCTCATTATGACAAACCACTCATTCCCGAGATTGTTCTTGTGAACCTCCTCTGGGCTCCCTCCAAACTCTTCATATCCTTCCTTAGATATGGGGCTTAAACATGCTCACAATATTCCACATGCAGTTTCACCAGAGCCTTACACAGCCTCAGCAGTACATTCCTGCTTTTGTATTCTCGAAATGAATGTTAACATTGCATTTGCCTTCCTAATTGCCAATTGAACCTGCATGTTAACCTGAAGAAAATCCCGAACGAGGACACAAAGGAAATTGGGAGGGGACTTGTGCATGAAATACAGACAGCTGGAACATAATTAGAAAGTCTAATAGAATGTTGGGCCTAATTTCAAGGGGGTTGGAGTAAAAGAGGAGAAAAGTCTTGCTGCAACTACTCAAGATGCTGGTGAGACATCTGTAGTACTGTGAGCAGTTTTGGTCCTTTTAAAGGAAAGATATCATTTTATTTGAGGTAGTTCAGAGGAGCTTCACAAGGGTGACTTCTGGAATGGAGGGGATTGTCTTCTGAGCAAAATCAAAAAAGGTCGTTACTCTGCTCATTGGAATTTGGAAGAATGAAAGATGATCTGATTATGCTAAATAGTAGTTTTAAGGGGCTTGAGAGAGGAAATACTCAAAGGATGCTTACCCGAGTGGGAGATTCTCCAATCACAGGGCATAGCCTCAGAATAAAGGGGTGTCAATTTGAGACTGAGATGAGAAGCGATTTCTTCTCTCAGAGGGTTGAGAATCTTTGGAACTCCTTGCCACAGACAGCCTTTGGGGGTGAAGTCCATCTGTATGTTTAAGGCTCAGATAGATAAATTCTTGATCAGTGGGGGAATCGAGCGTTATGTGGGAAACGCAGGAAACTGGATATGAGGAATACGAGATTAGCGATGATCCCACTGGATGGCAAAACAGCTCGAAGGGCCGAATGCCTACTCCTGTTCCTATTTCTTATGGTTTTCACTCTCTCTTAACGGAGCCATAAAACAATCCCCAACAATGACTGGATCCGAATAAAAAGCAAGGTTTTACTGACAGGTTTCCCGTGCGGACAGTGAAGGGGAAACAGGGCTACAGTTCATCAGGTACTGAACAAAGACACTTGACACGGAGCTTTTTATCGCGTGTCCCACATTGGGTTTTCACTCACTTTCAGTCACGTTTGTTTTCCTTTCAGACTAGCAAAGCCTCCCATTTGTTTGCAAATAATCTCCGAATATTCGCTTTAATGCTCAGGAATTTTTTTTTTTCCTTTTTCTGTTTTAAGGCTATAACAGTAAGAATCCAGATCTTCCGGCTTTGTATTTTGCCTGATCAATTCCGCACTTCCGTATTTAATTACTTGTTCCTAATTTTTGTCTGAATCCCACCGTCTGTAAGATTTAAAGTTAATCTCGGGGGCGCCGTTGTGTGTTGTCCCAGGGATTTGGGGGTGGGGTCGGCTCTCATTCCATTTCACGGTCTTAGTATTCACTGCCTCAGCAAAGGAGCGACCCGCACTCAGTGCCGAGAAAACCTTCATTTAAAACCAGGGGACTAACGATTTATTTCAAGAGATGATCGTTCTTTCGGGCTGAATGATTGATTTTATTTGAAATATAAACACAGCAAAGTTTCATAGTCTGACTTTTACAAGACGACTTTTACTTCCGTGTCTCTTGCTGGTTGCAATGTCTAACGCGGATGGCTTTAATGTGGAAAAAAAATCCTCCCGCTCCTGTTCCTTTACACTGACAGGACCCAGTTCCACACTCTGATAAGTGATTAGAGACACTTTTTTTAATTTAAAGTTTAAAACATTTCATTGAACAGTTCCCATCTGGGCCCGGTTTGGCTCCTTGTGTTTAATTGGGATCTTTCATCGTGAAGAACAACGTCCCAATTCCACTGGAAATAAAACCTACCCCCGAAAATAAAGAATCTTTCGAGCTCGTTACTTACTTGCAGCAATTTGATCGAAGACTTTTCGCTCTTTTCCAGCAGATCTTTGAAGACGAGAAACCTACGCAGCGAAATACCCTAAAAACTTCCACTTTCGGTTTCAATGAACGCTGATCGCTGGATGTGATGTCACTCATTGGCTGGGACTTTATTGCATATCTCTAATTTCCCTGAAGGGGGTGGTAGTGAGCTGGGATTTTTTTTCAAGCCACTGCATTGTTTGGGGTGTGGGACACTTACAGCGCTGTGAGAAAGGGAGTTCTGGGATTTTGATCCAGGGGCCTTAAGGGAACTGTGATATATTTCCAAGTCGGAATGGTGAGCGACTTCGAGGGGAACTTGTTGGTGTATCTGCTACCCTTGTCCTTCAAATGTTAATTTAGATTTATTGTTTAAAATTATAAGATGGACAATCATCCCTCTTTCCTGAAAAGGTACTTGGCTGGTGTTAATGTTTTCTTTCTAAACTAATCCTTAAAGAGAAACGTTGTCATGTCAATAATCCAAGGAAAACTGACTAAAGGTCTCCCCCTTTTCTGAGTGTACATCTGAGAAAACTCATGAAACACAAAAAAGTCAATAAATTAAATCATAATATCCTTCACAATACTGACCCTGTAGATTCGGTCCTGAGTGACTCATTATCAGTTACTTAATGTCTGAAGCAGACACCATGTGTCCTGTCTTCATTAATCACACCATTAAAAACATCAGGCAGCCTAGTGAGTGAGCCGAGCAACAGGCCTGTGCATTCTTGACCCAACAACAGTCCATGTTGAGGTTCTCTGTATTCAGCCTGCCACAAGGCAGCCAAGGATAAAGAAGACCCCGCATAGAGGGCCTGTTACTGGGGATTCTGGCTTCAGTAAAACAGCAAAGTAATATGTTCAGTTTTCTCTGTATGGAAGAGGGGATTGAGGTTGTTCAGAGAGTGGAGGAACATCTTGTACATGAAATTCCACGGTGCAAAATAGATTGAAGAAAATTTCCTGGAACCTGGAAGTTGTGAGGGGCCTGATGAGAAATATTAATTTAAAATAGCTCAGTATTGTTTCAGAATCTTGAGCCACTTTGACACACTAAGTGGAGTCAGGGCCAAACCTAATTATTATACTCTCGATGGCATGGGGCATTACTCAGAAGGAGCAGCAGGACATACATTCTGCCAGCCCCATTGGTAACATCCAAAACTCACTTTAAAATTCTCACGTCTGGCAGAAGGCATCAGTCAGCTTCTCCACTAACTTTAGCATCACAGTGAGCTTCTCATTTTCTCCCAGGCTGACCTTTAGTTTGTCCTCAAGCTAAACCATGCAGTTGAATCGCTGAATTTAACCAAAGACCATCAATTGGCTTAAGATCAGAGCTGAGGCAGCAGTGAAGGAGCAGTTTGCAGATATCTCACCTTTGCACTGGCAAGTAGAGGAAAATGGACCTGTATTCCAGGTGAAGAATGTACTCAGGCTGAGATTTACTGGCTGCCCAGGGAACTCACACATTCAGGTCCTTTTGTGTATCATTTCCTCGTCACATACATTTCTACTCTCTTCCTTCTCTTAGTCCCTCAGCTTTAAGGATGATTTATTTCCAGTCTAGTTTCACAGGTTCTGAAAACCTAAGAAGATCAATGTGGGATCTGCAAACCCTGCCACATTTGGGACAGATGGTCCTTGAAGGGCCAGGTAGGTGAGCTACTTGGATGTATGTGAGGTCCCTCAGATATCACCTCTGCACATTTTACATGAAGTCTCTCAATATGGTTGGTACCTTCCCGAATGATACTTCTCCATTTTGTTTGAACACAAGTCAAAATCTCTCATGAGTCGATGGGTATGTCTGACATCAGCAGGAATGCTTTCAGGACATCCTGAAGCATTGTGCTATTTTTCTGCATCCAAAGTCTGATATTGTCAGTTGTGATTGGAAGTGTGTCCATATAATTTAAAACCATTGCAGACTCCTACGCCACTGGTGGTACTGCCACTGAATCTGCCAGTGGGTGGTAGCTCAATACATCCACATTTGCTACTTGCCTCCCGGACAGTGTCCCAACTTGTAATTATACACACTTAGTATTCGAGCCCACTGCTGAATTCAGCCTGAACGTATGGACGACACTGCCTTGTCCTCTTTAAGTAGATCTAGTAGGGGTTTGTGGTCTTTATTATTACAAATTTACATCCGTAAAGGTTTTGGTGGAACGTCCTGACTCCAAATATGATCACCAAACCTTGCTTCTCTATCTGGGCATATTTACGCTCTGCATTAGCTAAAGTCCTAGATACATACGCTATTGATCATTCCTCTTTATTGGGCCACCTATGAGCTAATACTATCCTGATGCTGCACAAGGAGACACCGCATGTCAAGAGCAGATCTCGCTTGGGATCACAACTTCCCGTAATAACTCAGCAGATGAAGGAAAGACCTAAGCTCCAGTACAAACGTGGGAGACGGGCACCTTTCATCACCCTCACTTTATCTTCCAACTGTTGTAATCCAAGTAGGTTACTTGGGGTGCCTTGAACACTTTTCCTTTCTAGGGCATACATCTGTCTGGGAGAAACATTTAAGGAATATGTCCAAGTTCTATCAGTGCTCCTTATTGGTCTTCCCTGTTATTAATACATCATCGAGATAAATGGCAACATGAGTTGGGCCTTTTACAACTTTCTCTATCATCTATTGAAAAATTGAAAATGCTGACAATACCCCAAATGGAAATCTCGTACATTGGAACAATCCCTGATGGGTATTATTTACAGCATATTTCTGGGAATCCTCATCTCACCACAATTGCAAGTAAACATGGCTTTTGTCCAGCTTCGTGAAGGACAGCACCCTGCTGGCTTTGCTTGTAAATCCTCTATGCGAGGGACTGGGTATTTATTTAGGTGCAAATATGCTGCTATAATTTAGCTGCAAAATGGTTTACCGTTTATTTAAAATCCCCACAAAGGCGAACCAACTCATCCAGCTTCACAATCGGTATGACTGGTGTTGCCCATTCTGCAAACTGGATTGGTTTGATGATTCCTTCACTTTGCGGCCTTCTGATTTCTGCCTCTACAGGCAAATGGCACTGGGTGAGCCTTGCAGAATCATGGAGTTGCTTCCTGGTCAACATGGAAGTTGGCCTTGGCCCCTTTGATAGTCCCTAGACCTTCCTGAAAAACCTTCGGGTATTTAATTAGGAGTTCACTCAGGCAGCCATTTATTAACTGAAAAATGTTGAGCCAAGTTACATGAATCTTTCTCAACCAATTTTGCCCCATCAAGCCTTTTACTGCAATCAGTGGTAACTGAACTAGCTGCTTCTCATTAGAGAGTCGAGCTGAAGTTGTACCTTTAATCTGTAAAGGTTCCCCACTATAGGTTCTCCGTCTCACCGAGGTCTTATGCAAACCTAAGGGTCGGAGTGCAGAGTGAATTTTGTTAAAGACTGATTCTACAATCACTGAAACAGCTGCTCCAGTATTGACCTCCATTAGAATTGGTTGACCATTTAACTAAATGTCAATTTTGATTGGTTCTTAGTTGAATGTTGCTAAGCAATTTAACTGTTCCAAGCCAGATGTAGGTGAACGTTCAGAGGTGTATGCTCTCCAGGATACCAGCCTAAAAATGCTCTGACTCACTCTTGTGGGACTCTTTTGCTGTCTCGAGTCCACATGCCGGCAGCAACGACAATGTTGTCCCAGCCCTGATGCTGAAAAAAAAATTCAGTTTGACCACGGCTTGGCTTTGTACTGGGGTTTTGCTGTGGGCTGATAGAGAGTCCCTCTGTTTGGGATATATGCTGAGTGAGGCTATGCACTTGTCTTCATTCAAGTGGTAATCTCTAAGCTCAGTTGACCTGCTAAGGATGTCCACTTCCATCGGAATATCGTACAAGTCATATGCTCCACTTGCTGGATCTTCTAATGATAAAGCCAGTTGTAGTGTCTGTTTGAAGTCTAGTTGGGATTCAGCTAATTGGTGCTTTTGAATGGTTTCATTATTAATCCCACATAACAAATGGACTCTCAGCATCACATTAAGAGTTAAACCAAAGTCACAATGCCTCTAACCTAGTCAAAAATCCCAATATTGATTGCCCTGCTTCTCGAATTGCCGAGTAAAACCGATAGTGTCTCAGAATTAGGAAAGGCTTGGGTTCATAATATTCCTTAACTAATTCCATCAACTCTTGAAAGTATGTGGTGCC